GGCGCAACCACCGCGGCGCCTGACAAAGTGATTTCGGGAACAGGGAGTGCACAGCTTGAGACACGGAGCCAAGGACGTTTTAAGAGAAGGGGAGAATACAACACGGATCTGGATATGGAGGCTAAGCATCTAAGACTTGAGACAGTGGTTGAGGAGACCCCTCTCCAGCCTCCGCCTCCGCCTCTCGATCCTGGTCTCGATTCGCTTATAGATTCCGTGTTGTTTGGAATCGATGATCCCTTCTCCGAAGACGTTTGGCTCGATGATGAGCAGAAGCTACACTCCACCGCGGATTCTTCTTTCTTATCGATTCCCTCGAGATCGGGAAGCGAGTCTGCATCACCTGTTGTAGAGTATACGCAGGAACATTCGCCCACCCGGCTCGATCCTAGTCTCGATCCACTTATCGATTCGGCTTTCTCCGGAGCCGACGATCCCTCGTCCGAAGACAGTTCGCTCACCGATGAACTAATGCTACAATCCCCAGCGGATGCGTCTACTGAGTCGGAGCCCTCCGCATTGGGAAGCGGCCCTGAGTCACCTCTTGTCGACTCCACGAAGCGAGGTCTCGATTCACCTATTGATTCCGCCTTTTCCGGAGCCGAGGATCCCTCATCCGGAGACTTTTGGCTCGCCGACGAAACGCAGAAACACCCCACCGCGGATTCCTCTATTGGCTCGAAGTCCTCGATATTGGGAAGCGGCTCCGAGTCACCTGTTGGGGAGTCCACGGAGGAGCCTCCGCCTCCCCCTCTTGATCCTGGTCTCGATTCGCTTATTGATTCTGTGTTGTCTGGAGCGGCGGATCCCCTTTCCGAAGACATTTGGCTCGACGAAGAAACGCTGCTACAGCCCACCGCGGATTCTTCCTTTGGAACGAGCCCCTCGAGATCAGGGAGCGAATCTGAGTCACCTGTTGTGGAGTCCACGCAGCAGCCGATGCCTCGGCACCTCGATCCTGCTCTCGATTCACTTATTGATTCCGTGTTGTCTAGAGCCGAGTATCCCTCCTCAGAAGACGTTTCGCTCTCCGATGAACCGCTGCTACGCCTCACCGCGGATTCTTCTTCTGGATCGATGCCGTCGATATCAGGAAGCGAGTCTGATTCACCTTCTGTGGAT